GTCATCTGGTCGTCTGGCACGTTGAGCTTTACGTCTCCAAGACTATGATATCTGTGTCGCCTACAGGTCAGCCCGCCGACATTCAGATGCCGACGCTCCTTCCCACTCTCCACTTCCCTTTAAATATCGAAGTGCGATTTTTACAGCCTCGATGCTGCAGCGCTTTCACACAGTGATAAGGCCTCTGATCAGCGCCAAGATGCGTGTATAGTCTCTAAGATAGAGCTACTGTCTTAACCGTCCCAAGGTATTGCCAATCGTGCACTGCGGCGCAAAGATCGACATTTAACCATCCTCAATGAACTCCTGTACCGTCGCAGCCACCTTCCTGACGGCCGCGAGGGGTTGCCTGTAATTTGTCGCCACCTACTTGTCGATGTATGCGACTCCTTCCACGCGGATCCCCAATGCGGTCATGCGGTATGATAACAACCTATTCACACATCTGTCTGCGGCACTATTGGCGGAGATGGTGTCGCTTTGTTCGACAGTACTTCGTTTGTGTTCTAAATGTCAACGCCTAAAAAGCCCACCACACATAGCCAATGGAAAACAGAAGCCGTTCTCTTGCCCCCCCCTCCCCAAAATTCCAATCTCGTTGGAATTGACTTTTATGCCCCCCTTCCCTCCATGCCCAATGAGAACCGCTAAGGGGTTGTCGCCATTAGTCGTTGGACACGCTATTCTGAAACCGCCACGCTGCCAGAGGCCACATCACGTGAAGTTGGCATCACGTGAAATTTTTTAGTCAATTGCTTCTAATTTCCTATAGATGACACATCAGAGCCCAAGCACTCCGTACAGTTGATTAACCAGCTAAAGTTCAATCGGGCGACCAAGAGTTTAGCAGTGCCTAAACCGATTCTGCACCGAAGTCTTTCATAATTATTGCTTGCCTGTGCACGCTTCTTCATGAGGCTAGCCATCCGATCACACAGCGCTTACTACAGTGTTTATTTCACAAAGTCGCACTATGTGCCTCACATGATCACGGTCATGGAGCAGTGCAATGAGCGACAAAATGCGTTTCGCGAAGCGTTATTCACGGTGTTTCTTCTCGAACCACAGGTGGTCGCATAGGTTGTAGCCAACGCGAAAGTGCCGTTGGAGGATTTCCCGCTGAAAGCGGGCGTTCGCCCAGGGGAACGCGCTCACGCAATCCTCATGTTGACGCTGTTATGCCCGCAACGACGCTTTTTCGTTTGACATCGCGAGTTAACGTGGAGGCGCGGTTTGCAGGATCCCCCCGCCACCAGCGCTTGCATTCCAGTTTGCGATATTGATTGGCTCATACCCCTGTCACACGGGCACTTGCGAACACCATTTCACTCCCTCGTCTTTACGATAAGGGAGATGTGGTTCGAGTCACAAGGCCACCCCTAAGCGAACGAAGGTAAACGGAGTAGTTCGCAAAAGGCGTTCGATGATCTCCCTTTGCAGCGGAACGAGGTACTCTCGTCCCCAGCACCTGCAGGTGAAAAAAACATTTCGAGCACTAAATTGCTGCAGTCAGAGCAATAACACATTTAGGCAATAATAAACGTCCTTTTGTCACAGTACCGACTCATAACGTGTTTGTTTAAATATATATATATATATATATATATATATATATATATATATATATATATATATATATACGCCCGCCAGATTGCAGCTTCTCTCCACACTGATTCCTTCGAAATCTAGTTCACTATACTTCCAAACAGCGCTTCACTATCGGGCCGGGCACCGCCATTTAAAAATATTTCGTCCATGCGTGCAGTTGTAGTCGTCGCCGTGTTTGCGTTTACCGGTGAGGAATGGTTGGCAGCGTTGTATCATCGTCGCCTGCTTCGACGGCTGCACGATTGGGTAATGGTACCCCACCTATTGGAAGGGTAACTTACGGGCTACGAAAACTAGTCGTTGAGCACGGAGAAATTGTAAACAAACATAGCGTTAGGCACAAGGTGGTTAGCGCCACTCCCACATCGCTACATTAGGCGAAAGAGTTTTCATTTGAAATAAATTTCAATCCTTCGTTTGCTTTAGCCCGACTTAATACTGTGTTTTTGTAAAAACCGCATAACCAAGACACACACAAAAATGCTAGAGATGAAATTGGGATACTTCTTCGAAGATCACACAGCACTGGCTTAGCCCCCTCGCGGCAACTATTACAAACTTGGCATTGCCATGTGACGTTGCCACAAATCCATATCTGTCAAACTTCTTACGGGAGATTCACACTGATGGATTTTAACAGAGTTTGGTGGTGGCCGTGTGACAGGGGCATCAGAAGGCTGCCAGATCATTGGTACGCAGTTTCTGCCAGCACTCGGCCTCTCGGGCCGGTTTTCGTGCGCGGACTGCAACATCAGCCTGGTGACTTTGCCATACCCCACTGGAAAGTTTCAGTACAAACTGACGCGTGTGTGCAGAACGTCATGGGATAGACGACGTCACTCACCACGCAGCCAATGGCACACGTGCTTGGGTAGCACGCTGAGAATGACGTAACAGATAGTGCAGTCAATACATACCGCTCGTGATACTGATTCCGAGCAGCTTTACGGGTGAAGCTCCTATAGCGACACCTGTTCGTCCCTCGTAGCCGTTGTAGTGTGTAACAAGTATAACATTTTGACCTCCAAGGTGGTGCCGGTAAGAGATTTCTTCTCTGCGTTGTTGAGCAATACAAAAGAGTGCTAACGTACATGCCAATGGCTGCTAAGGGGGAATGCGAGGCAGGAGCATTGGGCTTTTAGTTAACGCACACGCTGAGATCCCCATTAACAGCCATTGGCATGTACATTGAGAACTATCTGACAGGAAAATGTTACTACGTTACACTCGCTAGGCGTAACCTCCTTGGTTCTAGGAAGGTTTAGCGAGCGTTGGGCCGCAGTGCCATGAATACAGTGAACTAGTACATACCACGAACTCGAGGTGGTTAAAGGTGGGAAGTAGACCCGAAGCGCAAGCCGTAAGAAAGTGTTCGTGTGCCACTTCTCCTTTAGTCTTTGGGATGTCCGCTGGATGGCGGTGCTTCTGTATGGGGAATATATGATGAAAACATGCGAGATGGCGGTACTTGGAGTGTTGAAGAGATGGACGGTTGGACATACAGACCGATGCATAGATGTACGCATGAACGGACGCAGCGGTGGATGCATGGACGAACGCAGGGAAGAACGCACGAACAGACGCACGCACGGACGGGTACATGGATGCATGGACGGTCACACAGACGAACGCATGGGCGGACGGAAGCGAGAATGAATGGACGGACGAATGCTTCGCCCCACTCTCCATCATTCACTCCATGGATATGCTGCGATTTTTTTTTTTGCTTCTCCAAGCCAGATACAGCTCTTGCTCTATTGTTGTGTTGGCATTCCTTGAAGTTTCTGTTATTCTTCCTTGTAGGAGACACTTCGTGCGTAGATTGGCAAGTTTTTCTAAAGCGATTATTTCACCATCTTTAACGAGGCCTCACGTTACCTGAATAACCATTACAGAGGAAATATACAAAGGTATATTTTCTCTGTTATTGCTTCTGGGTTGTGCGATTCCTTTGAGTCATTATTGTTTATACTATCATTCTGATACTCTCAGCTGCAGGACAGATTTCTCTAGAACTTCTCTATTGCCTCAACTGTCCTATCTGTATTGGCGGTGGTTTTGCCTGTCTTATCCCATAAAGCATACACTTGCATTTTGCCTATCTACAGTTTGCACGTCACAGCTTTGAGGCTTCTCTCTTCGTTATGACATGCTGAATCTCCTACATGTTACATCTTTTCAGTCATGTTAACTCGCGCCTACTTGTTGTTTTGGCAATTTCTCGTTTGAGGATGAGGTTTTTTCTTCGCTAAGGTAGCTCGCCAGGGAATTCTTACTCATTTTTATTAAGACAGTTAGAGGAACTGTTTATTGTACGATCGGAAAAAAGTTGAAAATTTGCGGTGTTGTCATTAGAGAACTTCTGTCAGTCAAAGACAAGACATGGTGTCAGATTTTGAGAATCGGTTTGAGGTGGTCACTCTAAACAAATGTCTCTTTATGTATCAGTGTTTTGTAGTATGTGCAGCGTTCCTTCAGCACAAAACCCCTAATCACTATTCCGCCAAACAATTTGCAAAATTAATCAGCATTAAAGTTTCAGCCCACATTTTAAGACATTACTGGGCTTCAATAGTCGTTAACTCTGGACAGCACTTTTCTACACGAAAACATCTATGCCGGGGCACATCAAGTATCCTGTGACTTGATTCCGTGATGAATATCACGTTGTGAGAAAAAGTGCCAAGAAAAAGAAGTAACACTTGTAACAGATCTCAGTTTCCGGTCGTTCTGTGTATGTTCGTTTAAGTGTCCCTCCTCGAGCTGCTTTCTGAGTTTCGAACTCCTTGCCATTTTTGTTTGACTTCGGCATTCGTTTTTATATGAATAATTCCTTCGACCTCGTGGCTAAACAATGCAAAATAAACACTTAACTACCTGTGTCAACACACCTTTCACTCTGTATTGTACCAATTCCTATCAGACAGGAACAAGGCATGCTTTTTAGCACTGCGATATTACGATTTTCACTACCTGTCTCGTTTTTTTGCAACTTTTTATTCGCTTTGCTTTAGTGCTCAAAAACCATTTGTTTTTCTACAAGTCCTTACTAGAAGGTCAGCGAATATTTTCGTTTTTTGTTGCACAACCTAAAATTGGTTTTCTTTATTAGCTGTTGACCTTCATAAATGCATTTCAAATGTTCCGCGTTATTCCTGTATTTCATAAGGTTTATTGAGAAGGTAGTAACCGGTTTAAACTGCGGTTGAAGACGGCTCTCTACACGATGTTACAATTTTGACATATGATGCCTTTCTGAAGCTCGAATTTGGTGTATTTATAAATCTGTCGCAAAAGTTTTGTCACTTTATCTATTCATCTAAATATTACTTATATTTGCTACAACATAGACTTGGCATTTCCTTATTTTCCTTTTTTGTTGCATATTTCAGATGACACACAATACGAACTGCTGGTGAGATATGAAAATATGACTGACGTTCCGGTGAACTGCAGTGAACGTTTTAAGAAACTAGTTGGATCAAGAGAACTTAATGAAAACAAAAATCTAGCAGGTTGTGTGTGTAACTGCAGCCAGCGCAACGATTTTAACTAAAAATGCCGTATCTCGTACAATATTGCAGAAATGAGTTGTTTTAGGACAATAAACCACGGCACACAACATTTGCTTTTCTATATATCTGTGTGTTTTTCAATTTGAACATGGTAAATTTTACAATTACCTTGTTAAACAATTCTTTCCGGCATACTACTACTGCTAGAAATGCATAAAGAAACAAATGCGAAACAAGCGTATTTAAAAAAATGCAGAAACTTTTGCTTCAATAAAAATACTGATGATGAGTGATATTCAGTCAAACCGACAGCAAATTTCACGTTTTTACAGATGGCATGCGAGACAGCAAGTCAGCAAGTGTACAGAAGTCTATTGCGGATTTTACTTAGAGCGTAGCACTACGAGGGATATCGCCAACATAGTTCAGAACAAACACGCCGAATACACTGGCGTATAGGTAGCTAGCTCATTATCTAATGTGAAGCCGGCGATTATATCAGTGCTGACCCGTACTTGTATCATCACGGGTGGGAAGTGGTGCGTTGATGTACAGGTCGGTTCACTGTTAGAAGAAACGCGCTACCACGTGGGTTGCGCTCCACGAAGCGCTATCCACAGCGTCATTTCCGCGCATGGCTGAACAACACCAAAAATATTGGTCATCGATCAGCGACACCACGTATCCGCAATATACGACAAGAAATTGAACAATATGCAGCGCTCACGTGATCTAAGATTGCCCAGGGTTGGCTTTTTTATATTATAACACCTAGCAATGAAGAAATTAAAAAAAGAGATTACACCCAGGCAGCATGTCAGTATTGGACCAATCACTGTCCTACGTCGGTTGAAGTTGGCAGCCATATCGGCCACATTACGATCAATCACGCTCACGCTACTTTCACAATTTTGTCTCAGCTGGTGTTGGGTCGATGAGGGCTAGTCGGTTGGGCTGTTAAGGATTAGTAGGTGTTGGGCCTATTAAGGCTGGACCGCGTTGGGGCGAGAATGGCTTGTCGACTTTAAAACAATCACGGCTCGCTGGCATTGGCCCAATAAATGCTTGCCGGCGTGATGCCGATGATGACAAGCCGTTATTGATGGCTAGCGTTATAGCGTCACTTTTAAGCTGGCCCACTATGGTGTTTTATTGGCCCCACTGACATCGTGGGCCAGTTGTGTGACCGCTTACACCCGGTATTATGGTGGGTTACCATGTATTAAGTAAGATACTACTGAAGCATTGTGTTCTGGACGTATCCAGTATAGATGAGTACACCGGTGGTAATTGCTCGGTTATTACCGTAACCTAATTTAACATGTTGATACGCACACTATAAAGCGAAACGACTGTGTGCCCTATTGGTAGCAGCGCTTAAAAGATCTATTATTGGCCCAACGGTATTCATCGATTGCTGCTGGCGTCGTATTCAGAAAATGTTCGTTGTCATAGCCAACTCGCGGAGAGCAGCTGACGGAAGAACAGCACACTTGATACCGTGGAAAAACACTAGCCTTTATTTCCTACGCACTCATCTTTTATAGCAACCTGGTGCTGACGTAACACGATGTATATCACATATCACACATCACATATCAGCACGTGTTGCGGTGGCTATTATGTTACACTCCTCCCCACCAACAAACAAAACAACAATAGTTTAGCGGCCTTCGTGGTCAGAAACGCACAACTGGTTTTTTTGTCCTCGTGCTTCTTCGCAGCATTGGCGTACTGTCATGGCTAGTAAGGTACAACCAGATCGCGTGTGGCGGTCCCACTTTCGCTGCATGATTCAGGACACGGCTCAGCAACTGGACTCGATTGCTCCGACTCACACTTCCTGGGTAGCGGAACTAGTTTCTCAGCCGGTTGCACACCCGCTCGTTCCGACACGCACTCCGTGGTTGACGTAGCTTGTTGCACAGGCGGTAACACTGGCGTCGGTGAAGAAGTCTGTCGCTCAGGCGGCAGTCCAGGAGGCGCACTAACTGGGGCGAAGTTCGGCCGCAGGTGTTCTTGGCAGATCTGGCACTGGCGAACTGCAGCGGTAATGTCCTCGTCTAACGAAGACCACCAGACGTGACTCCTGGCGATAGCCTTCATCTTGGTCATTCCAGGGTGCCCCTCATGAAGGAGTCGCAACACTTCTTGCTGTAATGCACTTGGGATGACCACTCGCGATCCGAGAAGTATACAGTCTTCTTGCACGCTCATCTGAAGTTTTCGATGTGCGTAGAACCTGAACTCGGGGTCACGTAGCTCAGCTCCAGACCATAAGGCCTCTCGTAGCTTCGCTAAAGTTGGGTCCTTGGAAGTAGCTTCCGCGACTACAGTCGACCGTAGCACCCGAGGGATAAGCAGCCTCCAGCATGAAAACTTCCGCTGGCCTTTCCACAGGTCGAGCGTACCCTGGTAGTGGTAGGCGACTCAAACCATCCGCGTTAGCAATGCTTGCTCCCGGCCGGTACATGAGCTTGTAGTTATACGCACCAAGCATCAGAGCCCAACGCATGATACGCGGTGAACACATCTCAGGCACGCGCTTGTCGGGAGAAAGCAAGCCCAGTAATGGTTTATGGTCCGTAATAGCCTCGAACTCGCGTCCCCAGAGGTATTGTCGGAACTTGGTTACGCCAAACATGAGCGCAAGAGCCTCCTTGTCGATGTGACTAATTTCGCTCGGCTGGCGCGAGACTTCGTGATGCAAATGCGATTGGTCGTTCAGCCCCCGAGTCTTCTCTATGGGCCAGAACGGCGCCAACGCCGTACGGTGACGCATCGCATACGAGAACCACGGGTTTCTTGGGGTCATAATGCGCCAGCACTGCTGCTGAAACAAGTAGCTCCTTGCTCCTTTGGAAAGCACGTTCATGATCCTCACGCCACTCCCACGACACCTTGGCCACAAGCATCTCGTTCAAGGGATGCAACACACTAGACAGCCCCGGCAGAAACTTGCGGTAGGAGTTGACTAGACCTAGATAACTCCGTAATGTCTTGACATCTTCGGGTCTAGGCGCCTTCAGCACAGCCTCTACCTTTTCAGGGTTGGGTTGAAACCCCGCAGCCGTGACAACGTGACCCAGGTATTCAACTTGTCGTTCCAGGAAGGTACACTTGTCAAGCTTCAATTTTAGCCCAGCTTGCTTCAGTCGGCTTAGGACTAGGCCCTGGTTTGTTAGATGGTCCTGGTCGTCGTGCCCAGTCACAAGAACATCGTCGAAGTACACCACAACGTGTCTGAGCCCTTGTAGCAGTTTTTCCATCTCCCGCTGGAAAATTGAAGAAGCAGATGTGACGCCAAAAGGCAAACGCGTGTATTGGTACAGTCCTTTTGGTGTGTTGATTGTCACCAGCTTGCGGGATGCCTCGTCCAGTTCAACTTGCAAATACGCATCCTTCAAGTCCAATTTGCTGAACTTCTCGCCAACGCTAAGACGGTAAAACAGGTCTTCAACGCGTGGTATCGGGTATTTTTCAGGAACCTTCACGGGATTAACAGTGACCTTGAAGTCGCCACATATCCGAATCTGGCCACTCCGCTTCATAAATAGGCACAATAGGCGCAGCCCATTCCAAAGTCTTAACTGGACGCAGCACTCCAACTCGTTCCATGCGCATCAGTTCCTCGTTGACGCGGTCGATCATTGCGAACGGAACAGGGTGAGACTTGAAGAACCGCGGCTTCGCGTTGTCTTCGATGGTTATTTTCGCGGACACTCCCCTGAATGTTCCCAAGGCGTCGTCGAAAACACTCGCATACTCAGCGACGAGTCCTTCAACCGACGTGATAGCCTTAACGTCCATCACACTGCGCAGCTCGATTCCGAGGCCTTTTATCCAGCCACGCCCCATAAGGGACGGGCAGCGTCCTGGGACGACGTACAACACGTCCCGGCACTCATGGTTTCCCCGTCGTACAGTCGCAGGCAGGCTGCCTTGCACCGCGGACAGCTCACCGGTGTAACCTTTCAGCATGACGCTTGACGGCTCCAGACGACAAGACGGAAATATGCGGCGAAAGGTCTCTTCCAACACGACAGACACACTTGCTCCCGTGTCAATTTTCATAATGAGTGAAGTTCCATTCACAGACACCTCAACCCGGTACGGGCTCCCGTCGTGATCCGGTGCGCGCACTTGCCACATTTCGTAGACTTGCGGTGCCGGTGTCTCAGAACGGCTTTCTTCGTCGTCTACGGTATGGATTGACTGATGCTTCCGGGACAAAAACGCTGAACCACCTGCGCTCGTAACTGTAACTGCCTTACCCTTGCATACTCGCGCCAGGTGCCCCTTGCTTCGACACTTGCGACAGACGCTACTTGCATGTCGACACTGCGTCGCCAGATGCTCGCCTCCGCAGCGGAAACGTGAAACTGGTTTATGCTTCTGCTTTCCTGTATCACGTGACATGGCATTCGTCGGTGCAACAGTCATTGGCATGGCTGTTGACAGCGCGCGAGAATCTTTGTTCGCCGTTTCCATCGCGATAACTGTCTTCTTTGCGGTATCAAGGGTCAAATCTGGCGACTCCAACAGTCGTCGCTGCATCTTCTCGTCGTTGATGCCTGCCACGATGCGGTCACGAAGCATTCTGTCTCGAAACGAGCCGAAAGCACAATCGTCAGCAAGTTTGTTCAGGCTAGCGAAGAAATCCCCAGCCATTTCACCAGAATGGCGTATTCTTGAATTAAACTTGAACGTTGCAACCACTTCCGATGGTCTCGGCGAAAAATATTTCTTCAGTACGTGAAGGATCGTGGACAGGCTTGTTTCTGACGGCTTCGAAGGTGACAGCAGGTTCCGCAGTAATGAATACGTGGCCGGTCCCAAACAGGTGAGAAGTACTGCTCGCTTTTTTTCATCTTCGACGTCGTTGGCTATGAAAAATTGTTCTACCCGCTCTTGATACTCTTCCCAGCTGGTTGTTCCCACGTCGAACGGCTCAAGCTTGCCGACACCACGCATTCTACACACCGTAGAGAACACAGCCTTACAGGGAAGTTCCAGGCGGCACCAGCAGATCACAATCCCATCTTCGTCGCCACTGTCATAGCCAACTCGCGGAGAGCAGCTGACGGAAGAACAGCACACTTGATACCG